TAATTGGACTGAAATGAATGATCGAATGAATGAATCAACTGAATGAATAAACTGAGATGACTCCTTTAAGAAAATTGTGAAACTAACAGGTTAAGTCTGCTTCAATATTTATTATTTCATTTTAGTTAGCTGTCCTTATCAAATTGGCATAACAAAACAGCCTAGGTGGAGTCGAAGCACGCGCATATGGACCAGTTCGGCTTCCAGCTCTATACACCCGGATAGAGTACGCTTCTCTCTTGAGACATCCAGCTGAAAAAAATTCTGTAGCAAAATATTCTCGAATTGAATGTATTTCATCATGTGAAATAGTCATCCACTTTTCAAATTGCTTTAATGTCAAGTTCATTTCCTGAGAAAACCTGTGCTTACGAAAACGTTTTAGTTGCGCTGATTTAAAGCTAAACATCAAAAAAATAAACAGGGAAAGCTAGGAAGCGCCATTCAGTAATTGTTCTAGGGTCGTAGGAACACTTGAATTTGCACATAGCAGGAAACTGTCGTTTTAAGAAGGACATTTTGTGCCGATACTACGGGCTGACACTGTGACATGTCGGCCCTCCTCAAAACTGAACGCTTTCTCCAAAGGCAGTGGGCGCGATGGCTGGGGGAAGGCGGTCACTGCCAACGCCATTGGTGGCCCCGTAGGCCCTTCCACCAATGGCGTTGGCCGTAACCGTCTGCCCCCAGCCACTGGGCCCCTGCCTTAAAGTTGGCAAAGAAGATCAGCGCACAACGAGGAATACGCAACATTCTAAAAAACCCAATGCAATAAGAGCGGAGTGTTTCTTAACCCATGTGATATTTCGCAGAAATTGAGATCTGGAACTATTTCTTTTCCTTCTGAATGCACTACTGCAAGTGACAACTATGCCATAGTTCTAGGATATTTTGGAAAAAAAGCCAAATCGGCACAGTCTGCACGCTTTAGGTTTTTCCAAATCGTATACCGTATCTATACATACATCCTTGAATGCTACACATATGTCGGCCAGATCATGTGCAAAAGGAATGTCCAGACAGATTGGAGGCGGATTTCGAACTGAAAACAGTTTCATGTCCTGTACAAAAATTAATAAGAAGTAATCTGGTCTGATTACAACTCACGAGAAATTTCCATTGTATAGTAATGCCCATCTACACCGATCGATAAGTCAAGACCATACGCTTCACGGTTGTAGGTGGCATTCACGCATACTGCAATAGACACAGAAAAAAAGGCGTCAAAAAATAGAGAGCTTCCTGTCAGCTAGACTTCCCAAAACGCGCCATTTCCGTTAGACCGTGTTTCACTATGGGATTGCTCCCGCAGCTTCCTAATTGACCCACCCCGCGCAATTCGCAGGCCCCCTTCCTTGCCCAAGTAGTGCGGTGGGTGATCGCAAAGACTGTCCGACTTTCGCGGCTCCAGAAAGGATGATGCATCTCGAGCAAGAGGGAAGAAGAGGAGGAATTTCACAAATTGGCTGAACGCGGGACCTGGCTTCAATCGCGGCTCCCTCGAAGGTAACGCCCAAATTCTTCCACATTCTCACGGTCTCCAGAAAGAAGTGCCAACCTAGGGAGAATGTGGACGGGGAGTGTGAAGTGGGGTCGATGCAAATCTCTCTCAGCAAACGAGTTGAGGCCTAATCCGCAGTCACTTAAATATGACCCCTGGTCGAGGTTCCTTGCTGGGTATTCGGACCTCATAATGAGTTGAACCAGTCTGCTCTATAGAGCTATTTCTAGAGAGTCGAAGGTCTCCTTCGACGATATTCGGTCCCTCAAGAGTGGCTCAGAGACGCTGTATTCCTTTGATCCTCCTCGTTACAATATAAAATAAAGACGACTGTATGATAAGGAATGCTTCGTGATAGGTGGTCGTTTCCAGTCAAGGATGCGAGTTGGGAAGCCTGGCAC